GGAAGTTCATTTTTATGTGTGTATGCCTTCACAGGAAGATGTGTGCATTACTGCTTTTGTAGTTGCTAGTTCTTAGGAAAGTTGCACCTGAAATACTTCGGATGGCTTAGTACGGTGCTTTTTAATACAGTGTTTTTCAAGGATATTGGAATCTTTTCCAGAGGATAGTTCCGTATCTTTTATTTCTTACTGGTGAAGCTGATAAATAAGGGTCTTCGGACTTTTGGAAGGTCGCTGTAGCTGCATCTTCTCTGCTTGATTGTGGAGGCGGCGGGCGTATCCTGGATAGTGGAAGCAAGCCGTGTCCCCTGTCCCTAGCATACTTCTGTCCCGTGCCAGCTAGGACTCTTCCAAGCACTTCACAGGCATGGGTTGGGCAGTAGGCTAGCCCGGGGACTCGGCCAAAAGCGCGTTGCATGTAGCTACCTCCTTTTGGAGACTTAGAAAGTTTAGCGCTGTGGATATTGCTCCTGTGCGCCGCTTGGCCACAGCGTCTGAGCGTGGTGCTGGGGGTGTTGGGTTTACTAGTGTAGGTATGGTTGCGGGGAATTAGAGGTGAGGATGAAGCCTGGTATTCCAGAATCTTAATTGTTGTCACCTAGGAATTGACTTCTATCTCTAGATTTTTGAAAATATGTTAATATTTGGATTCGGCGTTAAAGTAGCAAAAGGATTCAGACAGAAGCAGTCGTTGTTGATAAGCTGTGTTTTCTAGTAAAACTGAGGCACGCAGCTTTCTGTTCCCATGAGCTTTAGCGGCTGTCTCGAGGTGTTAGCTCTGCCTCACGGGCTGAGGGACATCTCTGGCCTGGAGTGTCTTCTGAACCTCCTCCCAGGTAAGATGAGAGTGTAATCATATCTTAAGATGCTGCCTCAGCAGCTGTTACCATAGGAACTGTAACTAATAGATGCACAACCAAAACGAGCCCAACTTTCAACTCATGCTCGTCAGAGTAAAAGGCACATGGATTTTTCTGCAGTGTTGTTGACTTTTTGTACTAATAGGATGTTGTTACTTCAATAAAGCTTGTATATAGTGATCAAAGTATTTGGGTACTTGAGCATTTTGACGTTGTGGATGGCAGAGTTGCGTATTCAGCTCAGTGCCATAGGAGGAATAACATTACTGGCACGTATGCCTTGTATTGCGAATAGCGTTGAGACGTAAATGATGCAATTGTAAACCTGAAATAAAGGGTGAACAGCTTTAACGTAGTAGAGCAATTCTGTTCCGCCTTAATGGTCTGCCTTCTCAACTTAAAGGGTCACTGTGTTTGTTTAAAACCAGGAGCTGACTGCATCGCAGAAGGGCGGCAAAAATGTGCTTCGGATGATGTACGAGAAACCGGAGAGGTGGTCTTTCACTTTCCAGACGTACGCGTGCCTCAGCAGGATCCGGGCTCAGCTCAGATCCCTTGATGGCAAACTCAGCGAGGGGGAGAATCCCGTGGTCTTCTTCGAGCGATCTGTCTACAGTGACAGGTATGTTGGACTGAAGTCCTTAAAGCGAAGATCAAACATCTCCTAAGTAAAATGCATAAATAAATAAAAAGCAGAGCGCGACCGAGTTTTGTACCTCCTTTTCGTCATAATTTTGATACTGGTGAATCACAGTAGCCTCAGTAACTGGTTTGTTACCTTTCTCTCATTGGTGTTGACAGCAAAGTAAAATTACTGGTTTGAAGGTTTATAATTTTGGTGTATACCCTAACTATGTGTAGTTTCTCATCCGTTGTGGGCAGGTTTTTTGTGATTTGTGACGCACATTTCCCTTCAAAGAAAAGAGGGGAGTAGGCATCAAGAAGAGTCAAGAGCAGTTGCTTTCTTTGTCACTTAGCCTTGTTTTCTTTTATGCTTCTTGAACCAGACGTAGCTATTTCATATTGCCATAACCTGTGTTTCTGATAACTAAATCCCATCACGTAATCCTTAAGTGTTCGCTGTGTTCTAGTATTTGTAAATAAATGACCATGGTGTACAAACCAGTGGTGGTTTGTAGATTATTTCTGAACAGATAGCGGAGCTGCAAATGTTACTGCTTTTTGTGGACACTATGGGCAACTGCAGTGGCCACGGTTACGGGATGAGGATACCAGCTGTTTCTTTCCACTCCAAGCATACATTGAAGAAGTTACAGAATTGCTGTGCTCGCCTTCTGTTCTAGTCACTGTGCGGTACTTCAGGCAAACAAAGTGCTAACTGTGTTCAGGCTAACTCTTGTTTACGTAACTATTTTGTGTTCACAGATACATCTTTGCAGCTAATTTATACGAGTCTGATTGCATGAATGAAACTGAATGGACTATTTACCAAGACTGGCATGACTGGATGAATAAGCAGTTTGGGCAAAGCCTAGCGCTGGATGGGATCATTTATCTCAGAGCCACTCCTGAGGTGAGGAATAAAAATTTATGACTGCACAGCGAATGACAGTACACGTTCTATGCCTTGCCTGTAAAATTTGATCTTTGTCTATGCTTCAGTAGTATTTTTTTTTTCCTAAAAAAATGTAGGATTTAACTATGATTCTAGACCTTTTTTACGATAAAAGAATAATACGCTTGCAGTCAACTCCAGTAAGGTCACAATTGTGTGTCACTGCATATCACTGTATCGTTGTTTTAGGGATTGCTTTGAATGTCACAGGCAAGGAAACAGTCGAGAAACTCTCCTTGAAATGTAATCTTCTCAAAATCTTGAGCTACCCTCACCTTTCACTGCTAAAGTCCTAATGATTGGAGTTCGGTTCAGCTTGTAGTATTCCCCTGAAGACTATAATACTTGAGTTATGACTAATACAGTCTGGAAATACTTAAAAAAAGAATGTTCTTTCAAATGTAGGCTGTGTATTTTTAAGTAAAATGTGATGAATATATGACAAGCGCAAACCATAAAATACCACTGGAGAAAAAAAAAAAAAAAAAGCTTGTAATAGCTATAGGAACATTGCTGTGATAGATATAACAATTTATAGTGAATGCCACAGCTGATCTGGGGGATGTGTGCGTGAAGCCCTTTCACCTGGAGCAACGGAGCGAAGCCAGGTGAATGCACCTACTGTATGTGAGGCTTTATGACAATGCTTTGATCTTGGGGAGTCTAATAGTGTTTAAAAGGAGAAAAGAATATAATGAATATGTCTTTTGAGTATGACACTTAAATGAACAAGAGAAAACTGTAAGAGGTTAGAAGAGCTCTAATTACAGTCATTAACTTACAGGTCACTTCCATACTTCCTGACTTCCAACCTTCATGCTTTCAACTTTGTTGTAAACAAGTGTGTAATGTAACATACTAGAGTTTCTTTCAGGGCTTTTTTTATTAGGCTTGCTATTGAGGTTTTTTTTTTTTCCCCCTCTAAGTCAAGAATGTATATTTAAATTACAAAGTACAACAGTTTTAAACAGTTTTGATTGGCTTATTATTGAGGCTTTGGATGTGTTCAGGACAGGAACAAATGACTTAATACATTTGAAAACTGGGTTCCTAAGAGCTGGAAATATATAATGAGAATTTGAAATGCCTGTCTATAATGTCAAATGGATATTTCTGTGCTCTTTTCATGCAATACACTGGTAGCCCTTCTTGTAATAAAGAGCTTATTTGAGACCTTTCCTTGTAGTGGAGAAATAATGAGATACCTTTCCTTGGGTCCTTTGATTTTGTGTGTAGTCTGTGGGCTCCATCAGCTGAACAAGGCGTAACATTTCTATGGTCGTAAAATAGTTAGCAAGTTGAATATTCATCTTTGGCAAAGAGTGGTGTATTGAGCACAGTAGGAAGGGTTGGCAAAAAAAAAATCAGCTAAGTAGGCTTTCTCTGTAGGTTTGCAAAAACAACCAATCTTCTTTTTTTTTTTTTTTTTTTTTTGTCCCCCCTCCCCCCAATATCTTTTGCCTTTAGAAATGCTTAAACAGGATTTACTTGCGTGGAAGAGACGAAGAGCAAGAAATTCCCATTGAGTATCTGGAGAAGCTTCATTACAAACACGAAAGTTGGCTTCAGCATAGGACACTGCGGTAGGGTTTGTTCAGTGGTTATTTAAAGATGGATAAATCTTTGTAAGGCTGTTCCATAATGCTTTTTCCACCAGTGAGACTTCAGCTTTTCCTGTGATAATTGAAGTTAAACTCCAGGAATATTTCTTTTCCTATGATAATTAAAGTTAAACTCCAGGAATATTTCTATCTATACTTGCTTAGTAGTATTGGCTTTACAGCATGTTAATAATTGCCAGGACATGCAACATGCCTTGAGTTCTCTTCATGTAGCGCTCTGAATAGCAGAGGATTCAGACGAACTAATTTTAATACACAGTTGAATGCAATGTTAGGTGCTGGGGGAACAGAATGTTCAAGAATCAGTAATATATCCTAGGAGCCACACTGTAAATTCAAGCTGCTTTCTATTCAGAATTCATGGCTGTAATTTTACATATGCATTCTTTTCGTGGCATTCTTAATAATGAAAATACTGACAGAGGCTTGAATGATAGGGTTTTTTTTTTTCCAGCTAGTAATATTATCTTTGTTCCTATCTCAATACAGAACGGATTTTGAATACCTGCAGGAAATACCTATTTTAACGTTAGATGTTAATGAAGACTTCAAAGGCAAAAAGGACAGATATGATCACATGACTGAAAAGGTAAAATTTCACAAGCAGAACAAACTGATGATTTAGTTTTATTGCCAGCATGTCAAAATGAATTCAGGATACTTCTTGCATCTCCAAGTATGGCATTCTTGGAAGTCAGACTAGACTGAAAACTTGTGTTTTTTCATGCTGTTTCCTACTTAAATTTTCCATTAAAAAAAGGAAAACAGGAAAGGAAATATTCCAGGCTTGTTTGAGAAGACTTTCACTAGTAGCTTTGTTCGCAAATACGATTTCTAATTTAAAGAACAGTTCTTTTAAACAGCTGAGGGTTATTTGCTACATCCTGCTTCTGACATTGTGCAGGTATCGTTAGAAATGTGGCGGGGGCGGGAGAGGATGAGGGCGAGAGGAAGAAGACTACATAGGTCCGAGCTGGATGTCTGGGCTGAAGTCTTCCTTGTGTTAGGTGTGGAAGCATCTAGCCTACAGTGCTAATCAGTAAAAGAATTTTGGTTCCAAGGTACTGTGAAAACACAGTACAAACCCGTCAAAATGGAAAATCGAAGGATGAGTTTGCTGAACTTGCAGCTGAATTTTGATCCAAAGCACTGAGCCAACGGCGAACTATTTTAGGTTTTGCAGATTTTCTAGCTGAACAAAAGAGAGTATGGGCTACCCTCTCTTCTGGTTAGCGTGTCACAGCAAAGGGCAGTACAGCTGATGCAAACAGGGATCCTTTGCTCTAAAAATATACTTCATTGTATAATCATTTTTCTAGAATATTTAAGTCATGGAGTGACATTCAGATAATGAACAGTCTTCTAGCCTGCTGCAATACCGCTTATTTTTAGTCTTGTTTATTAAATTGGCACTATCACTGAAGTTTTTCCCTTCAGTTGTGTTTATTTAAAGTGTTATTCAAAGTCCTGCTCGAAAGCAGTGGTCTGAAACTTCGGGGAGTGCTTTTCAAATGTAGCTCTCTATTTTGTTTAGGATGTAATGTCGAATATATATCAGAAGTATTTTTTAGCTTTATTTGAAGGCATGGAAAAAAAAATGTCTATTTGATATAAAAAGAAGTGCAGTTGAGATCTCTGTTTGCATTAAGAAGATCTAATCCTCAGCACAAAAGGGTGTAATATGTATTTTAAAGCTAGGCCAAATGAGCAACATTTCAACTGCTCAGGTGTCTGGTATTTGAATCATGATGAGATTCAGCTGAGGACAACTTGGCTTTTATTTGTGTAGTTGCAATGAGTTGCAGACCTTAGCAATGGTATGTGCACATTTTTCTGCTCTTTGGAAATAAATTGTTTACTTCAGGAGAAGAGCAGCTTTGTCCTTTCATCTCAGTTTATCCACTCAGGAGTAGAACTGTTCACCTGATTAAAACCAGCCTTCATGATATTTGCCCTTTTAAAGCTTGTTAATTGATGGAATGACTGGGCGTCGCAGCTGTGGACTGAATATGCTTCTCATCTGCACCAGGAGATAAGGCCAAGCACAGGCACCTCAACAGGGATTTCAGAGGAGTTTACTCTTGCGTAGCTGTCAGGTTATCTGGGAACAGCTTAAGCCCTGCGTTGGCCTTATTTTTTGGCATTTCCTAAGTGCAGGCCCAGGACTGTTATGCTCTTTATGAGGCTGGGTGCTTCGGCTTTCAGTGTATGCTTATGTCCCCAGCGTGGGGACCCAAAACCTGCGTTTCCTTCTCACCTCTGTTGCGCTGCTCGCTTTTGGGGACCGGCCCGGAGACTGTGCTTAGTGTGTAAATCGTGATAAGGTTGCTCATCCAGTATTACTGTTGCTACTTTCTAAAGTGGAGGGTGGCTTTCTCATGATACCTTTCCAGTTAGAGCAGTGGCACGGTTATGTGTTCTCTTCTCTATGTGAAGGGATTTGACCTCTTATTTAAAATTTTTTATATTCCCCACCTCCTTGAGCCCTGAACTAGGAAGGAGAGGGTCACAGTTGGAGAATGTGATCCAAGGTCTGTTTCCATTTCACATCAAGAGTTTGGACAAAACGTTTACAGATGCGCTCTGTGTATGAGAGCCTCTGCCAAAAGAATAACACCATGTTCTCTGGCGAGCCGTCGGTTCCGTTCTATGCTGTAGGCTAGCTTGAGTGGACAGAGTGGACAGTGCTCCCAGTTCACATTCCATCGCAGTGTAGGTGCTAGGATGCTCTTAAAACTGAGAGATAGGAGTTTTGTGCCTAGAGCCTGTATTCCTTGGGTCTTGTGTCTGCTGGGTGGTTGTATTTTAAAAAAGGTGGCTGCCACCTCTTCCAACTCCTATGCTTCAAAGGGAGGGAGTAATAACTCTCTACTTTTGGGGAGGGGGAGTGGAGGGAAGACAACAGAAGGACACGGATACCTGTGGCAAGAAGCGCATTCTCCGCACGTCGTCTTCCTGCAGCCTTTGGTAGTGACCTGAATTTAAGATGTTGTCTAAAGTGACCACGCTTATAAGTGTAACGCTAGCCTGCTGCTTGCTGCGCTGCCTGTTTTGGATCCCGTTCTCGTGCAACTGCATGGATTATTTGAGGTGCTGTGCTGGGTCTTGGTGCTCTGTGTAGAATCACGGACTTCTGACTCGGGGTTCTAGTAGCATTCTATGGGCCAGAACTTCACTATGAATTTTTAGGTAGCTGTAGCTGTTTGAGCCACTTTTCAAATACTGGAAATGGAGTTCAGCAGTAGCTGAAATGTTTATAGCATTGTTCTACAGTATCAGATTTTTTTTCAAGTACTATGGTTTTGCTTGATATTGTTTTAGTATTCATTTGCCAACCTCAAATTCCAAGGAACATACTCATTAGATGCACTGGGTTGTTCGTTGACATTAAATATGAACGGTGCTCTGGTCGTGGGTGTGACTCGGTGTTTTCCAAATGACAGATCCTTTGAGGTGGTCATTATCTTCCTCGTGTTTAGGTTAGACCTGCTTTTGAGATAATTGATTTGCGATGTAGGGCTGTAGTTTAGGACTCGTGAGGAATGAGCGTCATTCCAATGCATCTCTCTCCGCACCTGCTAAATTACAGGGACTGTGGCTGAAAAAGTCCTTGATGGACAAGAAATGGCATAGCTGAGCCCAAGATTATTTTTCCCAGTTCCTGTTTCTGTAGGTAGTAGTACAGTGTAAAGCAATGGAGAGGTAAATGTAGCTGCTGTATGTTTCTGTTGATAAATACTTGGTTTGATTGACGCTATTTGTTTCTTTTTGCAGGTCAAAGAATTTTTGAGCACGTTATAATCCTCTTTGAAGCACAGGCAGAGTCAAACTGTTCCAAACATCTGTGCGATCAAAGTCTGAAGTACAGCTTCTGCTTTTATAGAAGGCCTCTGGAGAGGCAGGACTCGATCCTGTTGATGTAATTGTGAGGAACAAACAAACTTTGTGAATAGGGAAATTATTCAATAAATCAGTAGGTCTGTCAAGTATTACATTAAGTAACACACACAAATTTGAAGATACTAGAATTCTGAGAGTTCCGGAACATTGCGCCTGTTTCTAATCAGACCAGTAAGTTGTTCTGGAGTATCTTACTGTATTCTGTTTAATTTATATTGTGCCCAGTAGCTATTGAATTCTGAAGAAGGTAGTGGTATTTTAGATCTCTTCAGTGGTTTTTTTTAGCGGAATTGATTTGTAACGGATGTCTCATTGTTCTGAGGAAGAAAGAAGTAAAAACCATTTTTGCTGGTGAGGGAATTGTAATATAACCTGGAGTTTTATATTGTAAGGTATTAAAAAAAAAAAAGTCGCCCTACAGATTTTGATGGATGAAGTTCTTGGCAGAATACACTGAATGAAAATGAACCCAAATATGGCTGAAATTGTGTAGATATCACATTAGTTTTTATATCTGTTTTCATGGTGCACTGCAAACAAGGATATTAAGAGGCTTTCCATTCTGTAGCATGTTTGCTTTCATGGCATGGTTGTGGTTTTTTTTTTTTTTTAAATTTTTTTTTTTTAAGCTCTTAAGAAAACAGACCTGGTTTTTGTTGTTGGGAAGTCCTCTTTTCCTGGAGAAGGAGTGTGTTGGCTTGACGGGTACCATAAAAGGAAGAAGAAAACTTTGCAAATGGCCTCCATCTGTAAATGACGTGTTTCTAAACATTTCCTTAATTACATTGTGGATGTCAGAGGTGGCTTCCTGCTTTTGTTCCAGCTTCTCCATTTGTTGACTGAGCCTTCCGAGTGCTTATACAAGATACTGCAATATTGGAAGTAGGCTGTCCTTTCTCGTCGTCTTGTAGGACGAAGGGGAGACCTTTGTGGAGTAGCTGCTGTTCTAGTGCATCTTGTTTTACTAACTGAGCCACTTTTGTTTCAGGTGCAGAAAACATAAACTACACAGGGTACACATCTCAAGTACTGTGTTTTATGAGCTGCCTTGTTCTGCTTTGAACGTTTCTGAATGATTGCACAGTTGGCTTTTGAATGCAAAATTTTATTGTCTGCTGTGGTGCCTGCGTTACCTGCTAATTTGCGATGAAATTTTTTGCTTTGTGGTTGGAATTGTGCTGGCGTTCTCTAACCGTTGACTGAAAAATAAAAGTGGCTGGAAAGACTTTTTCAATGCTTGGTAGTGTTGGCTCCCTTGTCTCATAAAAGAAATCATGTTGTAGATGGCTGGTACGTCATACTAGTACTATGGGTGAATTTAAGGTGATGTATTCTGAGTGTATTTGGTGTACAAATTCTCTAAGATTTCTGAAACACTGACTGGCTTCAGATTTTCATGTATGGGAAATGATCTGCTGGGATAGAGACACAGGATTATATAAAAGGTATCATGTATAACTTTGTGATCAGCAGAAGTGTTTTGTATAATATTCATGTCATAGTGGGATGTAGTGACAGTATGGTAGAAAATTGTGTTTTGGACTTCAAGGTTGCCTAGCAAAAGGAAAAAAATTAAGATCTTTGCTCCAGAAATGAAGTCAGGTGGAATGGATGAAGATTCAGTTCAGATTTACTTGAAACACATAGTAGAAGCCTTGAAAACATTCTTGGCAATAGTCTGATCAGTAACAACTTACTTTGACTAACAGTGCAATTATTCCTACAGTTTCAGCTGTCAAAGTTGTGGATTTAATTACAGGAATTGGAATGACAGTGCTCGCTGCAAGGAGTAAACAAGTCTGAGTTCTAATAAAGACTTCATTTTAAACCCATCACAGAGCACACAGAAATTGTGTGGCAGGTTATCTGCATCCCGTTCCAGAAAGCTTTACAAAATCTCTGCCTGCCAACTCTGGGTTTGAAGGAGCAAAGTCATGACCAATTATTAGAGTGCTTTTAATTGCTGTGGAGAAAAAAACAACAACAAAACCATACCGCACACCCCACCTCCCCCAGGCTTCTCGGGGCTTGGAAGCTGGCTGGGCTGCAGTACACGAGGCTGCAGTTATTGTATGGAGGACAGACACGGCTTAAACGGGAGCGGAGATGTCCTTAGACTCTTCTGCCTGTGCGTCGGCTTAAACCTCGCGGCTCGAACGGCACCTCAGACTTGCAAATTTGTCAGTATTCTTTTCTTTGCTTAAATCTATTCCCAGGCTACCGCAAAACAGGATTGTTGGCTTGCTTTTTTGCCTATTAGTGACGCGGAAGGTTTCTGAACTGATACCTACTCTTTGGCGATGATTTTTTTCAGTCTTTGAGTGCTGTGTCCTCTTTTATTCCCTCGGGTAGGAGATACTTTGATGGAACTGGCTAGAAATGCTCGCTTGTTTTAATCAAGCGTCATCACGATCAGGAAACAAAATCGGTACTCGGGTTTTGTTAGTTTTTTTCCAGTTAGGATACGGATTCAAATATCGATTGGTAGTGTTTTAATTGCTGCGCAAGCACACGGGTGAGCAATGGACATACTATTGTCTCATTTTATTTTCAGTCCTTGCAGTTGTTTTCTGTGTAGTGGATTTTAAGTTCTCTTAATATAAATGCTTCTTAGAACAGCAACCGATTTTGTACGTAGAGCTTAATTTTCTATAATTTTGTGCCAGTTACCTATTTCTACTTTTTTCTGTTTATTTAAGCAGGCTTCATAATAATGGAATTGTACATAAAATGTGATTAGTATTGAGATTATCCTCTTCTCTTTCCAGATTCCAGGAATCTATTTGTGAAATAAAAATCACACAGGAGAAATTCATCAAAAACTGTTAAGCATAGACCAGGGAAGAGTGTATGTAGTAATAATTGATACCTTAGGAAAAACAGTGTGCAATTTCTATTGCCAAGAGGTTCCAGCATAGCTGGGTGTAGGGACTCCAGGGTTGGTTCCCCAGCTCCCATTTAGACTGGCTGCGTGACCGTGAGTAAATCACTCTTTGCCTCAGTCTTTTCATCTTTAAAATATTGATAGCTCCTTATGTCTTCAGAAGGCTGGGAGGATGAGTTAGTGTAATATTGATGTGCTGTTTTGTAGGTCTAAAGTGCTCTATTAAATAATTGAGAGTGAAGGCAGCCCTGGCTTGAGATTTTTCACCGGGATGTTTCGATGCCCTCACGAAAGGGGTCACTGGCGCAGATTCATGGCCAATAGAAATTATTTGCCTTAAAAGATGATATAAGCGATGCAGTGCAACATTAATTGCGTTGAAGTTAGTTCACTGAAAAACATGGCCACGGAAAACTGTCACCCTTTGTGAGGAAAGGAAACTTATTACAAATTTAACCTTGAAAAAAATAACTGGTGGCAAAAACTGTACTGCAGTCCCTGTAGCTCGTGGCAGCGGCGAAGCTCTGTGCGGGATCTGCCACACGAGGTCATTGCATCCTCAGTTCTCGCTTGCCGAGCCGGCTGCGAGAAGAGCCTTAGCGTTTGAACAGCGAACAGCTTTGGACAAGGGAAAGAAGGAAGAGGTCACTTCCTCGCTTTGCCAGAGCAAAAACATTAAACTGATTAATAAATATTCTAACGAATGAGATAAACCTTGGGGAATAAAGCAAGCCCACGTTGGATTAAGCGGAAAACTAGAAAAAGCTGAACTAAGGGCAGTGGTTTTGACACCAGAAGGTCTTCTGTGCAGCCACCAGCTGTTTCTGTTCTGTGAGGGAATATTAGCACATGGAGAACACTAATCCCGATGTGCCTGAGCGGTAACAGTCTCCTAGCACGGAGCTGTCAAGCCAAATGCAGACGGTGAGCAGTACTAATGCCGGCAGTGTGCTGGGAAAAGAAAGCAATCGTGAATTCTACGAACTGAAGTCACGGCATAGTGACTTTGTGCCAGATATAATCCTGAACTGGGTACGGCTCCTCTGAAATTCTGACTGAAATCCAGTAGTGACAAGGAGTGTGCATTCCATACTGGGAGTAAGTGGCGAAGTGCTTTCTTTTACCTTAGGTTGGTATTCAGCGTGGGTGTAAAATCAATATAAAGCGCAGAGCCTAAAAGTCGGCTGTTGTGTGTAGGTGACTTTTGTTCATCTGGGGTCTAGGTTTCAATCCGTGGTTATAAATAATACGACAGCAGCATAAATAAGAATACAGTGCATGCTAATTAGAATGTAGGCTATTGCCCATTTCTTGGATTTCTGCTGGCGTTTCCCAATGTCTTAGGCAGGGTGCATGTTATACATACGTACTTCCAGAATGTCAAAGTCAAGCTTGCACTGTGTATGTTCGCTGGCTAATGGTACTGAGGGATTTAAAAAAAGGCAGTGGGCTCCTGAGAGTTACTTACAAAGATGTTGCCACTGCAGTTCCCTCGGAGTACGTTCCTGTGCTTTCTCCAGACCTTTCCGTCCTGCATTTTGTGTTTTTTCTCTCCAATTTCCTTCTAAGTTGTTGTGACTTGTCTTTTAATAATACTAAAAACATGATCTCATACAAGTTGTAACAGACCTGTTAAAGCCAAAATTTCACTAGTATGCAGCCTACTTGAGGATGTGACTTCTGCCTCTGTTCCAGCTGGGAATCTTAGGTTTTCCAGTCGTCTTTTCTGAGCAATTCTCTCGCGTTAGCCCACCTGATTGCTGGGGCTCTATGGCTTCAGCACTGTCCACACGGGCATGCTGACAGCATGCTCTTTTTTTTTTTTAATAATTGCATTCAGATTTGCCTCTGCTAGTTTCTTAAAACGATAGCTGTTGCTCTCTGATGAGCTTCCACTGCGCCTTTGGCTTTGTCCCCTCTGCGGGGCTGGCTGGTGGCCTTTACCCTGATCCTCTTGGCTGTGTACAGTGGCCTCAGGTCATTGACTGTTTTGCTGCAGCAGAGTGCCGGTCTGGGTCGGCTGCCGGGGTCCCATCTGTGCTGCACCTCAGGAGGAGATAGACCCGCTGTCATAGAAAGCAGGACTTGACTTTTTAGCTCTCCGTTCCGGGTCTGCTCCGCTGCTTGTTTCATGAAGGTTTATTGCCATGGTCCAGCATAGCTGGGTAGGTATTTCATGTGTGCTTGTCCTTGTCAACAGTTTCTTTGCTTTATTATTGCCTAGGGCATAGGCATCACGTCAAGGGACTAAAAGCTTGTTTCAAGTGGGGTTTCCATTGCAGTGTGCTGTGGGCACAGTTTGAGGATAGCTTGTCAGGAGGCCGTAGCTTTTATGGCTGGCTTGAACTGCAGTTCTTGCTGGAGCACGCTTTAAACGTCCGGTTTCTGAACGGTAGGCTC